CAGATGCAGAAAGGAAGACTAAGAGAGAGGAAGAGATTTACATGATGTTGCACTTAGTTTTGTCAAGACATCTACATTCCAAGCTAGGGTTCTTTACACTAAAGTTTCAGAACTGTCTATAACTCAGCCTCTCTGGGTAGGAAAGGATGGAGAAAAAGAAGAGGTCCTATTTTCTAGGAAAGGACAGAACAGAATTAGGAGGTACCCAGGGTATCTATTTTCATTTTAATCTCACAGATGATTTCAGAGGGCCTTAAAGTACATTTATTTATTTATTTATTTATTTATTTATTTATTTATTTATATTTAATAAACACTTCTATACCACTATGTCCCAGAAATCGTTCTAAGCTCCTTACACATATGAGCACTATTTTGTATATTAACTCATATAATTCCTAAAACAATTCTATGAGTTAGGGATTGTTACTTTCCCTATTTTACAGAAGAGAATCCTGAGCCACAGAGTGGTTAAGTAACTTGCCTTAGGTCACAAAGCCAGTAAGGGGCAGACCTAGGATTCCAATTCTGGCAGTTTTCCCTCCTACTAGGCCTGAGCCCACAGTTGCCTATTCTGGTCTCAACTCTAGCGAGGGGACAGATATGAAGTTCATTTAGGACTTTTTCTACTTCAGCTTAGGGCCTATTCAGCCCTTTCCCACCAAAGACTTTTCAGCTGCTTTACTGAGACCCCACCCTGAGCTGGCATATAGCCTCTGCCCAGTACAGGAGGGGCCCCTCAGAGACTGATAATGGCACATTTCTTGGTCCTCTCCCCCATACCTTGGCCCAAGCTTTCCTTTTCCTCTACTTTGACCTATTTTAAAACCTCCTAATCTATTGAAAAGCATTTGCTTTCCCTGTGAAACTCTTTTTTTTACTCTCTCTTCCTACCCGCCCCCAAACCCTTCCAGTCTGCACCTCATAGTTTGGCCCTCAATTCTATACTGTGTGCTATTCTCTGTCTCTGTCCAGTCTATTTTATCTTCCCAACTCTGCAAGCTCTTCAAGGTCAGAGACGAGTAACGTTTCAGGATTTATCCACTGCTGGCTCTGAGACCATAGATTAATAAACTCCCAAACTGTCATTGTTTGAAGTGCCCTTAGAGACTATGTAGCTCAACCCCCTCCTTGTACAGACACTCAGGGGCCCAGAGAAGGTGGATGATCAAAGCTGAGTGCCGAATCCAATTTTCCTTTATTTGTAGTGGTTTTTTTCTCTGCTTCATATCTGCTCTCTTCCTCCGGTCACAATCCTACCTACCCTTCTGAATGGTGGAGTATTTTTTTGAGGCAGACCCAGACCTGGAAAGTGGCTTCTCCATGTGTCTGAAAATCTTGGCTTTTCCAACAATAATTTTCCCTGTCAAACTCCAAACCTGCTAAGTCACGAACAAACTTTGATGAGCTGAGCTGCATTCAGCTGTGAAAGAGACAACTTGATGCTTTCTCTGGACCCAACTCCCTGGCCCTCTACTCTCTGGCCCCCGTTTCAGTCCCGGGAGCTTTGCAGCTCCTGCCATACCAGTGACTTAGTCACTGTTCTTCAGCCTCACATATGCCTCTCAAAGGCAGTTTCTTTTTCGTAGCCACGCCTAGGCACTCAAACAGTCCAATAGCTGCTCTAGGAACTTCACGGGGGGCGGAAAAGGTAAGCTTACCATGAAAGGAGGGTTTGGGATGTTGTTGCTACACATAGATGTGAAATGAGTCAAGCGGAATTTTGATTACAAGGAATTTCATATACTGTGAGTGTGTATGCCGGCTGGGGGCTGAGGGTCGGAAACTGAGGGGCGGGGCTGAGGGGCGGGGGCTGAGAGGCGCGGGGTGACCGGCAGGGGGTGACGGGCGGGGGCTGGAAGAGATGTTTGCTCTGCGCTGAGGTGGGTTTGTACGGGAATTCCATTTGGGAGCAAGAGCTATCTACTCCTCCGTTACCGGGTGAGTGTGGGAACACCCCCTGGTGTAGCAAGGCGGCTGGGACCTGCGGCATCTAGATGCAGAAGTACAGAATCAGGTCAGGATGATTGTTCTAGCGTATCGCAAAATCAGAACAATTGGGAAGGCGCCCCGTGGCTGGCTGTCAGTCCATCCATTTGTGTCCTGAGAGCGCTTTCTGAGGTGCCAGGGATCTGGGCTGACATCTCTAGGATCTTGGCGAGCCAGTTCCTGCAGGCTCTTACGGGACCTGCATTGCCACTGGGAACATGCCTGGACGTGTCCAACAACCTTGAACATCTAGGGTTGGGAGATAAAGAAGAGAAGGAGGCTGGGTGTTAGTGAAGGCGGGGACAGTGAATCAGACTTGTGGAGCATCCTGAGGAAAGCAGAACTGCTAGCCCGCGTGGCTTGAGGGCAAGTCAGGGCTTGTGTAAAGAGCATGCTGGCTCTGTTTGGGGGCTTTCAATCCACCCCCTCACCCGCCGAGCTTGGTTTCACTTGATATCTCATTCCTGGAAGCTGAGCCCCGGGCAGTGTTATTTTGATCCTGCCTCACCCCAAACACTGGCCAAGACCCAGCAAGCTGCAAGAACTGGGGGACAAGAAGGGACCCGGCAGAGACCAGGCTAGGAAAACAGACTTCAGGGTCTGACTTATACAGGTGTTGGCAGCGTTGGCCAGTATCATGCTGGGTGGCTGGGGCAGGAAAGTTTGGAACATCTTCCCTAGATAACTCCTCTGTTCTTTCCTTCACCCCAACTTACCTTCAACTCAGCAGACTCACTGAGCACCTAGTCTGTGCCACCATATGTGAGACACTGAGATGTCTGTCTGAGACCTAGGCTGTGCCCACTGGGGCCTGACAGTCTCATCCTGGATATAAAAACACAGATAAATATTAATATAACACAAGAAAGGTTTTAAAAGTTAAATCAAAATGCTTAGAGGCTGCCAAGTAAGGATCATATCAAGTTGAACCATACGAAATCAGAAAAAGGTTTTTTTTTTTTTTTTTTTTTTTTATTGTTTTTTTGAAATTGTAACGCCTTTCAGGCCTCCAGAGCTAGACTATTTGAGTTCAGATCCCATATTCACCATTTATTAATTTGTGTTACCATGGACAAATAAACTTACTTCTCCCTTTCTGAGTTTCTGTTAACTTCAGGCTAAAGAGGATAATAATAGCACCCACCTCATTGGGCTGTTGTGAGGATTAGATGAGATAATCCATATAAAATACTTGCACACACTTAGCACAGTGGCTGGCCCAAAATAAACACTCAATAAATATTAACTATTATTATTTAAGGTAGACTGTGGCACACAGATAGGATTTCAACAGGTGGAGATAGAGAAGACAGTTTAAGCAGAGAAAATAACAGGAACAACTGCTTTAAGGCAGGGAAGCTCAGGGCATATGAAAAGAACACCAGCTGAGCTGGATTTTAGAGTACAATTAGTGGGAAAATGGAAGTTAAACTTGCCAAGGCAGATTGGTGGTAAACTGCAAAAGACAGTGGATGCTAGAGTTTTGATTTGATTTGGCAGACAATAGGAAGCCATTGAAAGTTTCTGAGCTTAAAAAAATAAGATCCTCTGCTTTAGGAAGAGTAATCTGGTAAAAGGTTAGTCAGCTGGATTGGAACAGGAGAACACAAGAGGTGGATAAACTAGGGGCAGAGAGGGAACAAGGTCCTGAAACTGAGGTGGTAGCTGTGGGAATAGAAAGGAGGTGATGAATTTAACAAGCCATCACAAAAGTTGAATCTACAGAACTTTGTAATTCATAAATTATATGGGATTGAAAAAGGACAAATGAGAAAATCAGAATCTTTTTGGGTTGGCTTAGACCTTACAATGTTGTGCATTCCCATCTCACTTCTGTGGATAATGCAATAGAAAGGGTGTGGACCTTCTGAGCTAGACATATCTATTTTCAAGTCCTGGGTCGGCTATTTATCTGTTGTTTGTGATCCGAAGCACATTATGTACCTGACATTCCCAACTAGGATCAGCATTTCCACAAAATATTTAGAAGTATGTGGTGTGTGTGTGCGTGTTGCCAAACAGATGCAACAAATAATTGTTCCTCCCACCCACCATGCCAGTAGTTAGCCCAATGAGAAGTAGTCAAATTCTTTAAGCCTCAGCTTTCTAACCTGAAAAAGAGGGATAATAGTACTCACATCATGGTGTTATTGGGAGGATTAAAAGAGATATTTCCTGTCAAGGGTCTAGCACAGTGCCTGACAAGTAGAATGTCATGAGTTGTAATCTTCCTTTACCCTAATGGGCTCCACATTAAAATATCCTTGCCAGTCTCTGCTTGAACACTTCTAGAGGGAGGTTCCTTACTGCTTCTGAGAGCACCCATTCTCTTCAGGGAAAGCCTTGGACTGTTAAAAGTTCTTCCTTTTGCTAAGCTGAACTTAGTTTTCCTAAAGCTTGTACCTGGATATCCTAGTCATTCTCCCTGAGGCCACCTAGAGCAGTCTGTTCTTTTTCTTCCATGACAGTTTTTCAGAGATCTGAAGACCAGAAATCAGATCCCCCCGCATCTTCTGCTCCCAGATCAAACAGCTCACATTATTGTATCATTTCTTATCTGTCATGGAATCAAGTCAAATATGACTCTGTGGTTTTGAAGTATATAAATTGGGGTAGGAGTATGTCTTCATAGTGATGAGAAATACTGCAAAAGGAACAGGATGGGTAAATGTGACAAATTTCCTTATAATTTATTATTTTTTTAATTATTTTTTCTGGTCAGGCAGGGTGGCTCATTCCTGTAATTCCAGCACTTTAGGAGGCATAAGCGAGAGGAAGGCTTGAGGCCAGGAGTTCAAGACCAGCCTGGGCAACATGCAAGACCCTGTCTATATAAATTTTTTTTTTAATTAGCTGGGCACTGGACACTGGGCACCTGTAGTCCCAGCTACTTGGGAGGCTGAGGCAGGAGAATCTCCTGAGCCCAGGAGTTTGAAGCTGTAGTGAGCTATGATCATGCCACTACACTCCAGCCTGGGCAACAAAGTGAGACTCTATCTCAAAAAAAAAAAAAAAAAAGAAAAAACTTAACATAAATCATTTTTTTCCACTATGTGCTAAATACTTTCAAATCCATCATCCCACTGCTTCCTTATCCTCAACTGAGGGAATTGCAGATTTGTTTATATATATATTATACAGGTGGCCAAACAGGTCTCGAGAAAATGAAACTTGCTAGAGATCATTTAGTTAGTAAGCATCTGTGCCAGAACTGCAAGACATATTTTTCTTACTCCAAGTTCAGTAGGGCTTTTCATTTTCCACAGCTGTTAGGGTTTAAGGTGATAGATAGCTGGGCAATTATGCAAACTCTGGCACTAAAGAATCAGTCAAAAGAAAGATGGATCCTCCAATTAACTTATACCAGTTATTCCCTTTTTGAGAGAATTCTTTTCTTTAGATGTCTTCTTGACCTGCTCCCCTCAAATGCCTCCTGCAGAGAGTGAGTCATCTTTTGGAGCCATTCCTCAGTGCTGAAGCTTCATATTGAAGCAGAAGCTGCTTTTCACCTCTTTCGTTCTAGAAACTAGCTCCACCCATGTATTCTTTTCTTGGGAGCTTAACAGGAAAGATATGGGTCAGTTTCACCATCAGTACGTAAAATACGACTACTATTATTTTGTGCACATAGATAGGAGGATGGCTATACTCTGTCTTGGATTAGAGTTTACTGTCTGTATTTTCTGTGTTCCCCACCAGACTGCAATCTCCTAAATTTGGAGAATATAGTTGATTCACCTCTGTTTTTCTCTCTTGCCACTAAGTTCTAATAGAATGCCTAGCATAGAAGGTACTCATCAAGTGGTTGCTGAGTGACCATAAATTAATTATCCCTATTTTGGAATGACAACAGTTATTATATCCTCCAAACACCACCAAAAGACATCATGCTATTCTCAAAAAGAAAGGAATTTCCATGTAATATATGGTGGAATCAAACAGTGAGATGTCCTACTTCCAGGAGATTGCTAGTCACCATTGTGGATAAGCCAAAAAGAGTGGGCAGCACTTCTTCCCTTCTACGATTCACCTCTCCATGACCCAGCCTACCCTTTGGAATTGTTTCTGTTGAGGATAAAATGAGCCATTATTGGGCTGTGGGAGGTAGGAAAAAGAAGCTGGAGTCTTGGTAGTATAGTCACTGAGTAACTGGTCCTAAAGCTGGGCCAACTCCTTTCTTCGTATATGGGAAGTAGAGAAGCCACTGGGCCCTGAACATGCAGACTTGAATTTTGCTTTTAGCTCTACCATTGAACACTGTGTGACTTTGGGAAAATTCTATCCCTTTTCTGAGCATTAGTTTCCTCATCTTGGATCATCAGGGAATGGGGTTAAGTTGTCCTGAATAATACTTTTAGGATCCCATGACTATATGTTTTCAATTATCTGACAGTTTGAAGTTTTAACTGGTTGCCAAAGAGAAGGAAAAAAAAAAAAACCAAAAAAAAAAAAAACAAAAACGATGGAATGTGCTGTCTTATGAGTACTAAGGTGCCTGTTACTAAAGGACTTCAAGTAGAGCTGGATGGTATTTCTTTACTGGGCAAAAGGCCACTGGGACGAAGATTAATTTTAAACCTCCCTTTGACTCTAAGATTGTCAGAGTCTAAAAATGGTCTCAAAGAATGTGCATTTACATATGAGGTCATAGGCTTCTTGTTATCAGTCTCACCTTCCCTCCACAACCTCACAAAGTCCTATACCTTTCTCCCTTTTCTTGGGCATTTAAGAAAAAAGTAAAGAAATATTTTGGCCGCAGCATTTCATTTTGTACAGACAAGCCTCATTCTATAGTTCTCATTCTATTCTTCCAGTCCTTTGGTAAGGATGTGGACCTGGGTTGTGCTTGCAAATGCCCACTGGTTTGTATCTCTGCTCTTTTAGGATATTTTATTCCCTGGCCTATGAGGATGGGATGGAGTACTTGATTGCCATGGGGAAAAAAAGAAACTCTTCTTATTGACATCTTCAGATACAGCTATTCCAGATTGCTTGGTAATTGGGACAGGGTGGAGGGAGTGTGGGGCAAGACCATCAAACTTAACAGAAATCAGAAATTGGAGTACTTGACTGAGTTTTATCCAGTCCCAGCCCTGCAAATAAATCATACCATGAATTCAATTCCCAACTGGGACAACTCAGCCAAAAGCCTTGGGAAGTCAACTTATCTCCCCTTCCAGTACTGCTGGTTGAGTAACTAATTTTTTTTATGATACCATAATTTTATGGAATCTTGTGGTGATTGGTACATGACCAGTGACTCACTTTGGCTAGGGTAACAGCAGAACAAAGCAAGAGGTTTCGGGTGTTAGCTGAGTGCTGGTCTGGCTTGTGGCTTGTCTCCAATACCCTTTGTTCCCCAGCTCTGGGTGGGATAGTAACAACAATCATAGCAACTCCTCACATGCGTAGCACAATCTGGAGTTTCCACAGCACTCTCACATACATTATCTCATTTTTCCCTTCAACATAATCCAGGGTAGTTTCTGTGCTTTTGCTCCCACTTGGAAAGAGTATTTTAGCAGTCAGTAGAAGAACGTTTTCCCTCAAAATCAGCCCAGAGTTTGCTGTTCTTAATTTCATCCTATTTCTTTTATAATGGTATCTTTGTATTCTTGGCTACACAATTTCTTTTCCCCATTCCTGTAACAATTATTTTTCAGCAGTTGCCAAACACTAACCAAATATTTATATTTTTAATTTACAGTCTTCTAAGTTGTATTTGTCTTTTGAGGTTTGTGCTTTGTTTGTTGTGTGTGTGCATATACACAAATGTTTTGAAGACAAAATAATTGACTCATATGGTTAGCATTTACTTTTGGCCAAGTAGAAGCAGCCTAGTTCAGTTGGTCATTAATTCTGTCTGTACAGTGACAACAGCTTTTAGTAAGGATTTTTTTTTTCTTTCTCTTCCCCAGCTGGGGCATTACCTCTTGCTCTGTGTGCTAGAATAAAAGACAAACAATAGATGAGACTTCTTTAATTTTGCAAAGGTTCATTCTCCTCTGTTGATATACCATTCCTGACATTGCTGGGCCAGATGTTGCTATCACTAACAGTTAAAATTCTTCAGCCACTTTGGAAATGTTGAAAGTAGCTCATTAAAAACTGTAGTACCCACCTGTGGTCTCTAAATTATGTCTATTCCAGGCACAGATTTTAGTATACTTAAACATAAAAAGATAATTTACTTTTATCACATGCCCATGAAATAAAATCAAAATGACACATCCTCAGTCCTGGCCTCCTCCACCTCCCAGTATCAATAGCTGACACATTGCTCATCCCTTACTTCCTAAAGCTTTGTCCTATACTACCCTATCAGGGTTCTTTTTTTTTTTTTTTTTCTTCTCTGGCTTCCCCTTCTTGGTTGCTCTCATGTATTTCTGCACTTCCAGCTTCAAGTATGAGTGACCTCAATGTTTGGTTCTTGTCCTCCTCCTCCTCCTCCTCCTTCTTCTTCTTCTTTTTTTTTTTTTTTTTTTTGAGACTGAGTCTGGCTCTGTCACCCAGGCTGGAGTACAGTGGCACGATCTTGGCTCACTGAAACCTCTGCCTCCTGGGTTCAAGCGATTCTCCTGCCTCAGCCTCGCAAGTTACTGGGACTACAGGCGTGCACCACCACGCCTGGCTCATTTTTGCATTTTTAGTAGATACGGTGTTTCGCGTTGTTGGCCAGACTGGTCTTGAACTCCTTGACCTCAAGTGATCCACCTGCCTCGACCTCCCAAAGTGCTGGGATTGCTGGCAGGAGCCACTGTGCCCAGCCATTCTTCTTTACCCATGATTTAACTTCTGCCAGGATTTACTTAGGCCAGTGGTTATCAAACCCCAGAGGTTTTTATTTAATTAATCTGCAGCATAGGATTTTTTTCAGTGCTCCGTATGATTCTGATGTGCTGCTATAAGCAAGAACTGTTATTCTGGTGTTTTTATGCATTTGACACGTCTCCAACTTCACCTTATGTTTCACATATTGTATATGCTTGTTGAGCATGACCTCTGTCCGCTTCAACTTCTCTATACTGAAAATAGTTGAAAAACAGTGCATTTTCTTTTCTTTTACCAAGCAGCTCTTCTTTCACGCTTCTCATGGCACTTGGATTCTTCTGGTTTCCCAGGCAGGAACTCTCAGAATCTTCTCTGACTCTGGTCATTCTGTTTGTCCTCACTTTTGTAAGGTTTGTATCTCCCACCATCATTCCTCTCTGTTCCTATTGTAACCACCTTTGACCTGGCCCTTATCTCCTCAGGCTTGGGCAGTAACACTCTCAAATCATTATTTAAAATGCACTCAGGTTAACATTCACAAAATGCTTTTCTGCCCATCCTAAAATATCACTGAGAAAAAAATTTCAGTGAAGACTGGGGGGACCTCCATTCTCTATTTTAGAGTTCAATACTGCCTTGAAAAGTGTGCCAGACTCATAGCTTCTAAATTACCTTTGAGTTCTGTCTTGCTTCTTACTAGCCAAATAAAGATAGGTGTATACATTCCCTCTGAGCCTCAGTATTTTTTAATCTATTAATTAAAAAAAATTCCATAAGTTATCGGGGTACAGGTGGTATTTGGTTACATGGATACTTTCTTTAGTGGTGATTTGTGAGATTTTGGTGCATCCATCACCCGAGCAGTATACACTGCACCCTATTTGTAGTATTTTATCCCTCGTCCCCCATCACTTCCTTCCCTCCAAGTCCCCAAAGTCCACTGTGTCATTCTTACGCCTTTGCATCCTCATAGCTTAGCTCCCACATATCAGTGGAAACGTAGTGTTTGGTTTTCCATTCATGGGTTACTTCACTAAGAATAATAGTCTCAAATCTCCTCCATATATATACACATATATGTATATGTACAGACATATATGTGTATATATACACACATATGTACATATATACATGCACATATATGTACATATGTGTGTGCATACACATACACATATATGCATATATGTGTGCATATATGTGCAGACACATCTGTGTATGTGTACAAGCACATATATGTACACATATATGCACATATGTGTCTGTACATATACATATATGTGTGTATATATACATACACATATATGTCTGTATATATACATATATATGTGTGTGTGTATATATATACACATATGATCCTTTTTAGTTCTTTAAGGAATATTCACACTGTTTTCCAAAGTGACTGTACTAGTTTACATTTCTACCAGCAGTGTAGAAGTGTTGCCTGTTCACCACATCCACACCAGCATCTACTGTTTTTTTATTTTTGGATTATGACCATTTTTGCAAGAGTGAGGCGGTATTACATTGTGGTTTTGATTTGCATTTCTCCAATCATTAGTGATGTTGAGCACTTTTTCATGTTTGTCGGCCATTTGTGTATCTTTTTTTGAGAATTGTCTATTTATGTCCTTAGCCCACGTTTTGATGGGATTGTTTGTTTTTTCTTCCTGATTTTTTTGAGTTCATTATAGATTCTGGATATTAGTCCTGTGTCAGATGTATATATTGTGCAGATTTTCTCCCACCCTGTGGGTTGTCTGTTTACTCTGCTGACTGTTTCTTTTGCCATGCAAAAGCTCTTTACTTTAATTAAGTCCCAGCTATTTATCTTTGTTTTTATTGCATTTACTTTTGGGTTCTTAATCATGAAATCATTGCCAATGTCTCAAAGGGTTTTTTCAATGTTATCTTCTAGAATTTTTATAGATTCGGGTTTTAGGTTTAAGTCCTTAATCTGTCTCGAGTTGATTTTTGTATAATGTGAGAGATGACATTCCAGTTTAATTCTCCTACATGTGGCTTGCTAATTACCCCAGCACCATTTGTTGAAAGGGTGTCCTTTTCCCACTTTATGTTTTTGCTTGCTTTGTCAAAGATCAGTTGGCTGCAAGTATTTGAGGTTATTTCTGGGTTTTCTATTTTATTCCATTGGTATATTTGCCTATTTATATACCAGTACCATGCTGTTTTGGTGACTATGGCCTTATAGTAGAGTATGAAATCAGGTAGTGTGATGATGCCTCCAGATTTGTTCTTTTTGCTGAGTCTTGTTTTGGTTATGTGGGCTCTTTTTTGGTTCCATGTGAATTTTAGAATCTTTTTTTTTCTAATTCTGTGAAGAATGATGGTGGTATTTTGATGGGAATTGAGTTGAATTTACAGACTGCTTTTGGCAGTGTGGTCATTTTCACAATATTGGTTCTACCCATCCACGAGCATAGGATGTTTCCATTTGTCTATATCATCTTTGATTTCTTTCAACAGTGTTGTGTATTTTTCCCTGTAGAGGTTTTTCACCTCCTTGGTTAGATATATTCCTAAGTATTTATTTATTTATTTTTTGCAGCTGTTGTAAAAGGGGTTGAGTTCTTGATTTGATTCTCCACTTGGTCTCTGTTGGTGTATAGGAGAGCTACTGAATTCTGTACTTTAATCTTGTATCTGGAAACTTTGTTGAATTATTTTATCAGCTCTAGGAGCTTTCTGAAGGAGTCTTTAGGGTTTCCAACGTAAATGATCATATCATCAGCAAATAGTGACAGTTTGACTTCCTCTTTAACAGTTTGGATGCACTTCATTTCTTTCTCTTGTCTGGTTGCTCTGGAGAGGACATCCAGTACTATGTTGAAGAGGAGTGGTGAGAGTGGGCATGCTTGTCTTTTTCCAGTCCTCAGAGGGAATGCTTTCAACTTTTCCCCATTCAATATTATGTTGGCTGTGGGTTTGTCATAGATGGCTTTTATTACATTGAGGTATGTCCCTTGTATGCTGATTTTGTTGAGAGTTTTAATCATAAAGGGATGCTGGACTTTGTTGAATGCTTTTTCTTCATGTAATGAGATGATCATGTGATTTCTTTTGTTTCAAATTCTGTTTATGGGGTATATCACATTTATTGCCTTGTGTATGTTATACCATCCCTGCATCCCTGGTATGAAACCCACTTGATCATGGTGGATTATCTCTTTGATATGTTGTTGAATTCAGTTAGCTAGTATTGTGTT